AGGCCTATTGATTTAGTGCAGATCCAGAATCTCCAAAGGGCATTAGTACTCCTCAATACTTGCGTACACACTAAGTTTTTTTTTTTTTTTAAACTTTAATATCTTTAGTAACTAAGAAGATAACATATTCTAGCACAAACTCTAGCATCCTAGCTAAACGTATGTTGTGTATATCAAAAGAGAATCCTCTTCCAAAGTCAAAAGGTGATTCTACTTAATGCAGAATAATCACCACTCTTCAGATTTAAGTACAACCTGTTGGTGGTATTAATACAAGAAGGTATGGTTAAACAAGACATGCACACCTGGTAGTCTTGAGAATACGTGAAGACCTTTCATGGATTTGCAACCATTACCATGAGTGAAATAACAGCAGCGGTTACATGGGCTCACTCTTGAGACAGACTTTGGGTTCACAACCAGCCTGTGCCACCTAATAGCAGTACACCTTCAGGGAAGATACTTAACCTCTTCATCCCTCTGTTTAGTCACTGGGTTGTTGGGAGGATAAAGTAAATTAAATCACATAAAATTCTTAGAACAGTGCCTGGCACAGAGGTAAAGCAAATAAATACTGGCTGTCTCAAATATTTGCTAAGTCTTCACATGCTGAGTAGCATGATGGAACGGCCTTCAAAAGGACATGTCATTTTATATACTGATAATGACAAACACATAAATCACTTACTGAGTACAGACCTTATTCAAAGCACTTTACATGCAACAATTTGGTTAAGCTATAGTTCTGTTGTAACTGTTCCCCAACATTCTACAAACTCCGTTCAGAGTTGGGTTGCTATGCTTTTACATGATTTCTTCCCTCAACAGAAATGCTTCTTATATCCTGATGACACGCAAATATGCTGCCCGGCACTGCTAACCAACTGCTTTGAGATGGAGATTAATCAGCTAACCAGCTGTAGGCTTACATGTGACAAAAGCACTCAGACATGATAGGCCTACTTCTGGAAGCCTCACAATCTTAGAAGCTGGACACCACCCTGTACATAGGTTTAGGATTGTGTGTAGGAGATGGGCTGTTATGTTCTCTTAGTCTCTAAAGACATTCTGGCTTTACAAAGACCAAATCCACACTTTAAACATCATTGAACAGAACTCGAATTCATCCCAGTAAAACAGTGAAAAAAGGGTTAAAATAGCAAAGGGTATAATTTTCTCATTTTCAGTCAATGGTTAAGACTTACATTCTGAAAATACAATCCTTTCTGTCATGCAAAATTAATATTTCCCAGATGTCATATGATCACCTGTCATGTCAAATGTTTACCAAACATTTCCAGATACTGTATATGTAAAACACTGCAACATACTGAATGTCTCATAACCAATTATCTCCAGAACTCCTTAAATTATGTTTAACATTCAAAATACATACACCACTGTTTTTTCTTTAAAAACAACTATTACCAGCATTGTCAGCACTTTTGGTCAAGTTTAAGAGTTAGCATAGACTGAACACTTTAGAAGGATTAAGAGTTAAATGTAGCAAAGGTGGCCTTTTTTGTTGATCCTCCTCCCTTGGTAAAGTTAATCTGCTCCAATTAGTCAAAAGAAAATGAGGTACAATGCAAGTATAATGCAATGGAGACTTAGATGTAAAAACTTTCTACAAATGCTCCAAAATAATTTAACACTATAAAACGGTCAGTCCCATAACTTACACAAATCTTTTCAACAGTCAAGTATCTCAATTTAAAAACGACAAACCACACTGTACTCTCTTTATTCTCTCCAACAACACTCTCACTAGAAGTCTTCTAAAACCAAAATTAAGATGCACCCGGCACAACGTAGATGGAATTCATTCCAAGAAAAGAAACCTTCTAATGCTGCTAAATCTAAAATGTCACATAATTTAACATAAAAGTGCACGTGTGTGTAGCTAGTCCCCATACCCCAGAATCTTATCAATTCTTTCACCAACCTTGCATATAATCCTCCCTCAAAGCCTCTTGGTTGAGTTAAATTCCATAACACTCGAGCAGGTGAACTGCAACAACACATGTGCCAAGGAAATTAGTGGTTTTCCTTACGCTTCCATTTTAAATGGGCACCTACTTGCAATTAAATCTCTGCAACAAAAAAGTTCACCTGAGGCCATTCTTGCCATTTTAAAAGAGGCCCAGTTTATTCTACCTGTGGTATTGCCTCAGTTATAATAGCATACCTCCAAAGAGGCTGGACGTGCCCCAAACACCAGCAAACCAGACCTACTGCCAACTCTGCTTGTCACACCGAGCAAGAAGCGCAACCTAACGTGTATACGTTTGTAGGGGTGGTGTGTTTGTGTGTGTGTTGGAGGAATGTGGATTAGAGGAGAAGGTGGTTGAACATTTTCAACTTGTAACAGAAGTTTTTTAAATGAGTAGAAAAACAAACTAAACAAACCAACACTCCCTCCCTTTCCTCCACCTTTTCCAAGCGCGGGAATCTCCCACCCTCCTAGAGAGCACCTTCAGGGCTTACGGTCCCCGGGTACATTAGCTTTAGCTAGCATTTGATTTTTAGAACTCCTCGCCCTCCCAGGGAAAACCAGAGGACGCCCGAACGCATCGGGCCCACTCCGCAGCGCCCCGAGACTGCATCCCACGACCCTCCTCTGCAGGTACGCTCCCCTCCCGCCCGCCCGAGGCTCTAATTCCTGCCCCGGAGAGGGGTTCACCTGAGGCCGCAAGAACAGCCAATAGGAAGTCCCCTCGGCCCCGCCAGCCGTCGCACTCCCCACTCCCAAGTGACCCCCCGTAGAGTCCCCGTGCAAACCCCCGCGCGGGAGCCCGCGTCCCGGCCCAGAGGTGGGGCGGAACGACGGCGCCTCCTCTCCCGTTCGGATTACCTCGCAGCACGCAGCCGGCTTTGTGTTTCCCTCCTTCTCCGCAGCCGCCGGGGCCGCAACGGCCGCCGGATCGCCGCAGCGGCCTCTTAAGCGCCGCAGGGCTCCAGAGGGGAGGACAGGAGAAGGGGAGGGGGCGTGAGGAGGGAAGGACCTGGACGCCAAGCCCTGTGTAGCAGGAAGCTGCGACACCTGGGCCGCCGATGCCTCTAGCTCTCGCTCTCTGTTTTAAAAGATATAATTTAAACCCCCCTTCTTTCCCTCCCGCCCCTCACCCTGGCGACCGTTACGACCTGGCGGCTCGCGCTCTGGCGGGACTAGCCGAGCGCCCCCCGAGCGTCCCCTAGCCCCGCCCCCAAGGCCCCGTCCCCAGGCCCCCAAGCGCTCCTGGCCACGCCCCCACAGGCCCGCCCCTCGCAGCCCCCGACGCCCCGGGCCCCGCCCCTTGGGCCCCGGAGCGTCCCGGCCCCGCCTTCTCAAAGCTCCGCCCCTCACAGCCCAAGCGTTCTCTGGTCCCGCCCCTCGCGCCCCTCGGGAACCCTGGCTCCGCCCCCTGTCATCCCCTCCCCTCCCTCAAGCTCGAAGTCCGCGAAGCGGCGGCGGTGGGGGCTTACGGGCCACGCAGCTGGGAGGGCCTGGTTCGGGGCGGCCGCCTGGCGCCTCCTCAGCGTCCTCCTCCGGCTATGCAGCTAGAACCCACGGCGTCCCCAGAGGGCCAGAGTGGGAAACGACCCCGACGGAAACCCGACCGCGAAGGGGAGGCGGGGCGCCTCGGAAACGTCTCCCGCCCTAACCTGAACAAGCCCCCCCCACTCCCGAGGCTGAGCCGCCGCGTTCAGTCAGCCTCTGCCGCCCACACTGGCTGCTGGGTCTTCAGGGGGAGGCACTGTAAGGCTCAGCCTCCGCACGCCCTCCACAGGAGGGGCCTGGATTTTCCCCGGCGTAGTTGCTTCGGGGGCGCCTCCTCCGCCCACTCACCTCCGCAGAGGGGCAGGGCAGGGACTCTCCATTCGGACCGGCCTGGGGTCTTCACTCCCCCTTTGGCTCCCGGCCTCTTTGCCTTATGAGAGCTGACGTCTTTGAGGTGAAAAGTCGAGACACCGCCAGCAGCCTTCAAAATGAATTCGGGGCCGGGCAAACTTTGCCACACGCAATCGCGGGGCTGTGAATCCATCCACAGGTGACACTGGGCCGCCCACCCCCATCGCCCAGACACGTTTCTCATCCCAGCCTATTCTCGAAATAGACCTCCCAGCAGCGCACACTTTTCTCTGCCACCCACGACTTGCACACCCCTCTTGCACACATGTCCTCCACGGACATGAGTACCCCCGCAAGCACACCCGTGGGAGCGCCATTCTAGTGATTCATGGTCCCTTGGGTCAACCCCACCCTAACACACACAACAAACTTCTTTCCCCACCCTTATCTCCCTTCGTTTCCAAGGCACTGGCGACAGTCCACTTCATTTCCTTCCTCATCTGCAGACTCTTCCCCCTCAAATACCTCACACCATCCCCCTCCTCTACATACCCTCCCTCTTCCCTAAAAATGTGCTAATTAAAATGTAGTTTCCTCTTCCCACATATGAAGTGTGGAAAATGAATCTTGTCTTGGCACTAACTGTGATTCATTTATCCTCGTTTTCTCTCTCCACTGGACTAAGGCTATAGAAATTTTAGTCTACCACCATCTCCCATTTGCTCAAAATCCAACCATGCCTTATTGTTTTTAAATACTCCTAAAGAATCATGGGGGGGAGGCTTCCTGGCTTTGGGGAGAAAACAATATTTAGAAAATGCTCAGCCTGACATTTTATTCGGCATTTAAAGATATCTGCAGTATTTGAGAGAGATATTGGGAGTGGCTGGATATTTTCTTGCATTTAAAAAGCAAAAAAAATGAAAAGCTTTGCATGCAATCAAGATTAGTCTTTTTATGAATAGCAAAAAAAGTGTGCTAAGAGCACATATCAGAATATAGTCTCCACGATACAAGGCATTTGTCAGTCACAAATCTAGACCCCACCGTCCACACCAAATGAAGCAAATTAACATAATCCATTTTAAGCATGTCTGATGAACAGTCTTTTCCATGATTATTCCCTTTCCCACAGTTTCTGGACAAAATGGATAAAAGATCTGCTTACCCGCTGAAGATCCACAGCTTCCTTGTGACCAGGGTGGTAGACGTGCGTGTCTGTGTCTCCCGTTCTCTAGGTGTGGATTCTGCAGTGCTGCACAGAAACCCACTGCAGCCTCAGACCAACGGCAGCAGCAGCCGCGGCGGCGGTGGCGGCAGCAGCAGCAGCAGCAGCAGCTTCGCCCAACGCTGAGTAGTAAAGTGTGTGACTTAGTACTGAGACTCCACAATTACCATTAGGCGCTTGCTTTATAAGAGAGGAGGCGGAATCTTTCTTAAAGGAATGGGTTTTGTTTTTCCTATCCGCTATTGCTTCATAAGAGGCAGAAAGCATGGAATCAGGGAGTTTTTTTGGACTGAGTAAAGTAGTACAGCTGTGGGAGGTCAAGGTTAAAATTAACTGGGTGATCGAGGGATGGAAGCACCGATTTTAGTGTGAGTCAATGAAATGCTAGCAGCTCTAGCTTTAAAGAAACCTCCTAACTTTGAGCATTGGGGTTAATGGCAAAAATAAAGTCATGTGCCTTGAAACTGATTAGTAACTTGTGCTAATGTTTAATTTCCAATCGTACTAAAATGATAACTATACAAAGGGAGGCTCTTTAGTATGTAATACAAGAATGAAAAGAATAATAAAGTAAAACTCATTTATGTAACTGGGAGCAGTGGATTCAAGTCCTACTAACTCCTGTAAGCATACCTAGAATTCCAGTGCATGCTGGTATTAGAAAATATATTACTGACATATTTCAATGTGTACTCATGTGTTATAAAAATCACAATATTATTTATAGGAAAAATTTGAAAATAATATCCAAAATGATTTTAGACAATAATAGCAGAGTACTATTCTATTTCAGTGACAATTCAAAAGTCAGCAAAATGAAGAAACTCAAATGGATTAACTGACTTTAGATGCATGTGAATCAACTATTTACACTATTAGAATGTGATGTATCCACACACAAGAATCTGCATTATAACTTAAATTTTATTTTTAATAATATTCCTAGATTTAAGCACTGACCATCTATGATTTTTTTCTTCATGAGTAAATGAAGAGGTGTGGTCTCAAAATTTGAATAGAGAAAAATATGGAAAATATTCTGCCTTTGATTTTCTTTTCACAGTCTTTGTTAATTATGTACCTGTATGATCTTGAGCAAGTAATTAACCTTATTTGGTCCTTAGTTCCATATTTTATAAAATGAGGAAGTTGGTTAAAATTGCCCAGGGTCCATTAGCATTCCAAAATACTGTGATTTTATGGCATTCATATATTTATAATTTTGTTATTTAATGCAAGTATGTCTCATTGTAAATTACTTTTCCTGAAAACTTGGATTAAAAGTAAATATTTTAAATGCGTAAGCAGTTTGTTGTGTGCCACCATTCTGAAATTATTTTGCAGATCAAATAATTATTTTGTAAAGTGAATAAACTTAATTTTACCTAAATTATGATTTTGTACCCAACAATGACCGATTTTCCTTGTTAAGAATACTGAATGACAGTTAGGCATGGTGGCTCAAGCCTGTAATCCCACTATTTTAGGAGGCCTAGGAGGGAAGATTGCTTGAGGCCAGAAGTTCAAGACCAGCTTGGGCGACATATCAAGACTCTCATCTCTGCAAAAAAATTAAAAAATTAGTCCAGCCTGGTGGCACACACCCGCGTTCAGTCTGCCTCTGCCGCCCACACTGGCTGCTGGGTCTTCATGGGGAGGCACTGTAAGGCTCAGCCTCCGCACGCCCTCCACAGGAGGG